CTTGAACCTGGGCCTCCAGGATCAGGTAGAGACACTACCACTGCACCGTAAGAGCCCTCGTTCGTCAGGTTAGTGTCCAGGACCCAACCATCTTTCACCTGCGGCTTCAACGACCTTTCCTCTACCATAAGGTCAGAAGTGGGATATTCACTGATTGCACCATCCGCGTCTCCTCTCATACTAAAGCAACTTGTGTCCATGTGCAGCAAGATTTGGACAATGTTCAGGTTTGGGCTGTTAAGTGGCAAGTAACCATTCAAGCTACACATGCTAACTGGTTACTGTTCAGCATTGTCCCTTGACGTTCAGTATTATTACTATGATGGAATCCCCCAGTATGAACATCCAGGGGCTATCATTGACCACAACTTAACTGGTCCAGATGTGGGCAAAACTTTGGAGTTTAATGTAGAAAAGTATGAGGTGATGCACTTTGGCAGGAAGAAGCAAAAGACTGGCTGTCATTAAAATTGAGAGAGACACAAAAAAAAATTGGAGTGCATCTGGGGGTTCCTGTGCATGAAATACAAAAAGTCAACATACAGGGGCAGCAAATGGAATTTTGGCCTTTATTGCTCTAGAGGTTGGAGTTTTTTTTTAATTTGTGGGATTTGGATGTCACTGCCTAGTCAGCACTTATTGCCCATCTCTAATTGCCTCACATGTAAACCAGATTGGGTGAGGACAGATCTCCTTCCCTAAAAGATATTAGTGAACCAGATGAGTTCTTAAGGACAATTGACAGAATTGTTGCAACATTTAATGAGGTCCATCATGCCTACACCAAAGAACAGTTACAATGAGGTTAATTTTGCCTTTTTGTTGAATTCAAATTCCATCAGCTGCCATGGTGGGATTCAAACCCCTGTCCCCAGAACATTAGCCTGGGGATCTAGATTACTAGCCCATTGACATTACCACTGTGTCACCATCTCTGCTGGTTTAGAGACTTATCAATTAGGCTTATCAGCCTTTGGACTACATTGGTAACAGGAACAGAAGTAGTAATCCAGCCCATTGAACCTGCCCTGCTAGTCAATTAGATCACACTTGATCATCAATCTCAACGCCTCCAATGCTAGCATATGCTCCCTTTGTCTAAAGGACACAAAAAATGTGGTTTTTCCTTATGGTCTAACTAGCGCTTTTTGTAGTTTTTAGCAAAACCTCCGTATTGTTATACACCATTCCCTTTAAAATAAAGGCATTTGATCCACTTAGCTATCAGCTGTGTGATTCAAGGATGAGGACCTCCAAATCCTTCTGTTCTGTAGCTTTCTACAGTCTTCATTTAAATAATTTTCAACTCCTGAATTCTTCCTGCTAAATTTCATTTTTCTTGCATTATATTCCATTCGTCAAGTCTTTCTTCACTTGCTTACTTGTCAATCCCTATCCAGACTGCCATTCTCAACACTTGCCTATCCACCTATTTTCGTCATCAGCAAATCTGGCAATAGTACACTCCCTTTTCCTCAAAGTCATTACTACAGACCATATAGCATAGAAACAAACACTTCGGTCTAACTTGTCCATGCTGACTAGACGTTCCAACCTGAACTAGTCCCCTTTGCCAGCATTTGGCCCTTATCCCTCTAAACCTTTCCTAGTCATATACCCATCCAGATACCTTTTAAATGTTGTAATTGTACCTGGCTCCAGCAGCTCGTTCCATACACACCGTCTGCATGAAAATGTTACCTCTTGCGTCTTTATAAATCTTTCCCCTCACGCCTTACATTTATGCCCTCAAGTTCTGGACTCCCCCACCTTTCGAAACAGACCTTGGCTATTCATCCTATCCATGCCCATCATGATATTTTAAACCTCCAAAATGTCACCCCTCTGCCTCCCATGCTCTAGGGCAAAAAGCCCTTGTCTATTCAGCCTTTCCCTGTAACTCAGCTTCCAGTCTCGTGCAAGTAATTCCAGCACTGATCCTTGTGGTACTCTACTAGTTACGGGTTGTTATCCTGAAAATGCCCTCCTTATCACAACCCTGTCTTTAATTATGATATGGAGATGCTGTTTTTGGACTGGGGTGGACAAGGTCAAAAAATACACGACACCAGGTTTTAGTCCAACAGGTTTATTTGAAAACGCAAGCTTTCTTTTTCAAATAAAAGCTTGCGTTTTCAAATAAACCTGTTGGACTGTAACCTAGTGTCGTGTGATTTTTGACCTTGTCTCTAATTAAGTTAACCAATCCCCTGTCAATGCTAATATACCCCCAACACCATTGGTTACTTAATAAGAGACAATGAAAACCAGGGAATCTTGTTGTAACAGTAAGGCCACACCTGGAATACTATGTGCAGTTTTAGTTCCTGTATTTATAAAAGGATATACTGGTATTGAAGGCTGGTTCCTAAAATTGATGTAGAAGCAGGGTAGATGTTGAAAAGTTGTTTCCATTAGTGGGGGACCCGCGCACTAGGGAACATAGTTACAGAGTATGGGAAGATTTGTTTTAAAATTGAGAAGCAATAGGATTCTTTTGAGGGTACTGAGTGACTGACTAGAATTCTCTAGCCCAGTGACATGTGGAGACCAGATCACACAGTATTTAAAGAAGAGGTAGGTAGATTTTTTGAAATATCAGGGAGTTGACTGCTATTCTGAGTTAGCATGAAAAAGGAGTTGAGGCTTGGGGCAGATCTGCCGTAATCAGTTTGAAAGGTGGGGGATGCTTGAAGGGTCAAATGGCCTACTCTAATCTTTTCTTGTTCTCAAAACCCATGGCATTCACAATGTGCAGTGGCTACAGCAGTTTGTTTATCATATGGACTGAATCACATTGGCTGAAGACTGATAACTGTGTCACTGGGGACAGCTGGAGGAGGCCAAGATGGATCATTCACTTGGCACTGCTGGCTGATAACTGTTATAAATACCTTTTTTTTTTTTTTTTCCACATTGATCTGCTGGGCTCCCTTACTGTTGAGCGTGAGGATGTTTGTGGTATCACTTTCTCCAGTGGGTTGTTTAATTTTCCATCACCATTAATTGGATTGGGTTTATTGTCACATGCTCACATAGCACAGTGAAAAGATAACAAGGCGCCACTTATGGCTCCAACTTGGGTACCAAGGTACATTTGGTAATGAATCTTGGTTACAGTGCAGAAAAATAAGGACAGCAAAGTTTATAAAGATAAACATTTATAGACCTTTTTTACTAAAATGTAGAAAAACAAAAACTCTGTTAACAGTTCAGCACCATAGTCCATAAGGGCCAAACCATGCTGGGGACACATTCCTCACAAGGGTTTCACCTCACCACCACCTTTTGCTGCCACCGTTGAAAAGAAAAGAAAGACTAGGATGAAAGAGAAAAGAAAGAAAAGGACAAGGAAAGATGCAGCTGGCGTGATGCTGGGGAGCAGACGGGCTCAGGAGCCAGAATGCTGCCTGTCTTGCCTCTGCTGCCATCTTAAATACATGTGGCAGGACTAAAGAATTTAGATCTGATCCTTTGGCTGTAGAATTGCTTGGTCTGTCTATCATCTACTGCTTATGCTCTTTAGCACACATGTTATCTTTTTAGTAATTTCACCAGCTTGACACCTCATTTTTAGGAATGCCTGCTCCTGGCATGCCTTCCTGCTCTTGTCTTTGAATCAGATTTAATCTCCTGGCTTGATGATAATGATGGAGTAGGGGAATATGCCAGGCCATGAGATTGCAGATTGTGTTGGAGTACAATTTGTCTGTTATTTGAGGGCCCACAGCACCTCATGAATGGTATGTGGTGAGCACAAGAAGGTTTCCTTGCCACGTTTAACCTGAATCCATGAGACTTCATGAGGTCCAGCATCAGTGTTGAGGACTGCCAGGTCAAACCCCCACACCCTGGACTGCATGCTACTGTGCCACCAGCTCTGGTACTGTCAGTATGATTCTGTAAGTATAATTGTTAGGCTGTAGTTTGATTAGTCCATGAGACATGTCTCCCAATTTTGGCATTAGAACATAGAACAGCACAGCACAGTACAGGCCCTTAGGCCCACGATGTTGTGCCGAACTTTTACCCTAATCCTAAGGTCTATCTAACCTCCACCCCTACCTTTTACTATCATCCATATGCCTACTTAATAGCCGCGTAAATGCCCCTAATGAGGCGATTTCATGCCCCTACTACTCTGAGTAAAGAGCCTACCTCTGACGTCTCCCCTATATCTACCTCCACTCACTTTAAAACTATGGCCCCTCGTAATAGCTACCTCCACCCTCGGAAAAAGTCTCTGGCTGTCCACTCTATCTATACCTCTGATCATTTTGTACACCTCTATCAAGTCAAAGCATTAGCCCACAGTTGAGTAAGGAAGCCTTTGCAGGATAGACAGGACTGAATTTGCTGTAATACAAGCAAAGAGCTGGAGAAATTCAATATATCTGCAGCATCAGCTTCTGGTGACTTAGTCAGTGTCAAGTGACTTTTGTCCAGTTTCATTCTTCTTTTGAGACTTTCTAGTGTTTAATACAACAGGGTAGCTTACTAGACAATCCGAGGCAAATTGAGTTAACTATATTGCAGTGGGTCATTGCCAGACCATGTAAGAATGGCACTTTTTCCTTCCTTTTAAAGGATATTAGTGAACTAGATGGCTTTTTTTATGACTATGGATCAATGGTCCATGTAAGACTTTTATTGAACAAGCCCAGTTCCCATAATATTACCCGGATCTCTGGACTATGCCAGTAACAATATGACTACACCATTACTTCTCCTTGGATCACTGTCACTCGGTGAAAAATCTGGAACTTGAAATTTTACATATTAATCAACGAAGCTAAGCAACCAAAGGCAATATAAGCTGCTGAAGAGGTGCCTACATAAAAGTGATGGAAGCAATCATTTTGCATTCTGTTCACTTGTCCCATTTGTAACGTAGCATGACCAGTGCCTTTTCTATTCATGTAATCTTTAGCCATGCTTTGCTTTTTAAAAATATAAAGTTTGAACTGTTCACAGAAAACTGGATGCATTTATTCTTCCAGGGTTCCACTTGCCACCAATGCCGGCAGAAGACTATTGATACAAAAACCAATTGTCGAAATCCAGAATGCGTAGGAGTCCGTGGACAGTTCTGTGGACCATGTCTTCGCAATCGCTATGGTGAATTTGTTAGGACTGCTTTATTGGATGCTGTGAGTCTTGAGTTTTTTTCATCCATAGTTACTTCATGCATGTGTATATATAATGTTGTAATTTATTCCCTCTATATTGATGAGTTTGCTTTAAAATAATAGGACATGTATATGATTGTTTTCGAGCTGCTGATCACATGACTACAGTTAAGCAAAGCCTCCCTGCTCCTTCCTAAAGTGACTTCAGTTAAGGATTGTTTCAAATCATTTAGAAAACTCTCTCTCTTGCAGATAATTAACACGAATATAATTTGTGCAGTTCAGACGTATGTAGTTCTTCAATTTTCCTGTAATTAAAAGCAAATACCAAACCCTTCACTAAATTGACACTCTAATGGATGGTGTTTGCCATTGTTTTAAGGTAATTTCCTGTTTGTGATTTGAGCGCAAAATTAGAACACTTGAGTGCAGAGGCTTTGGTTGGGAAATTACATTCTTCAGAAGTGCTCATGTATTGCGAGTTAGAATCTTGAACCTTTGTCAAAATTCTCTGATTTTCTTGCCCCTCTCTAATCAGAACTGGCATTGTCCACCTTGTAGAGGAATCTGCAATTGTAGCTTCTGTCGACAACGTGAAGGTCGCCGTGCTACAGGTGTTCTTGTTTACCTGGCCAAATATCATGGCTATGACAATGTTCATGCTTACTTGAATAGGTAAGCATTTAACATTTTTGTTTATGTAAATTTATTTTTGTGTAGTGTTTATGGAGTTTAAAATGTGAATTTTATTTTTCAGCCTGAAAAAAGAACTTCAAATGGAAGATTAACAAGCTACAGTGAACCAGTTTCTTGGAAGCAAATCAAATCCTTTGATAAATTTTACGTAGCTTTCAAAATCCATATCTGTTTTAACAATTTTTGCTAAATACCTGGGCTAGATTTACAAAAATATGCTTTAACATAGATCTTCATTTACAATATTTTGGATAATGAACATAACTTGCATTATTGTTATGGGAGGAGAGGTGGTACTAATATTTTTTGCACATGCTCTCAGATTTGCAAATGTGATTGTTCAATTAGTCTGACACAACAAGCTAGAATTATTATAGAATATTGGCAGCCAAAAAACTTGCACAGTAGCATGCTTCTTACGACAGCACATAAATCCGTTGTCATTTATTCTACTTTGATAGAAAAGGGCTATAATATTGTCCAATTTTTTTATATCCAGCTGCTCAGTTGTAAGTAAGTGTCAAATCATTCTTGTATTTAAATCAAGCCAATTCCTCAACAAAATCTTAAACTCGTTTGGTTCAGGAAATATGCCAGAGATTGACTGACTGACTTTCCCTAAATTCTGCAGTTGGATTTTTAAATCTCATTTCAAGGTTACCACATTAACTATACCTAGCTAGCATCATATGTACCAGTAAATTTTGCTACTTTTTTTAAGCTTTGCATTGGTGTAGCTTCTATCAGGATTTATACAGCCACAGAACTTTTTCTACATGGAATTGATGTGATTATTTAGCCATTTCTGCACCGCACTTGGTGCAAGCACTTAACCATACTAATGCCCTATGTTCTTAGGGTGCAAGTGGAATGTTTGAAGTTGCAACTTAGCCCTTCCCACTCTTGCATTGTGAGAGCGGGATTTACATCACAAAATGCACTCTCGTTGAAGCCATACAAAATTGAGCAAATTTGCATGTAAAAGGTACTTGAATGCCTGGGAAGGAGGGTGAAGTATTTGCTGTTTTGCATTTTAATGTTATAATATTTTGCCACTTGTTAGGATTGATTTTTTTGCGGTCTGTTGCTAATGCTGGATATCTGCAATATAACAAATGAATTCAAGCAGAAGCTATCAATCAGGGTTGGTGTAAATTATGAAGTATTAACAAACATCACTTGCCAAATTGCAGTCATCGTTTTGCTAGTGGTAACAAGTGTTTAAATTTTTTTAATGTTCTAAATATATTATAAAATACTTTATTTTTGAATATTTTAATTGTGCAAATACTTTAATCAGAATTCAGCTGGGTATATAAATAACCAAGCTGGCAAATACTGACAGATTTACATCTTATAATTCACTCCTGGAATTTAATTGTTAACTGTTGCTAATGATTCATGAAAGCCAGTAATAGTGGCAGTTTAATATAGGAAGAAATGTATGAAATTAAAACCCCTCAACTTAATGGAGGTATATTCCAGTAAGTATTATAATTGCATGTGCCATGAAATTTTTTTTTTGTTGTTTCCTAATCCAATATAGTCACTACTCAGGGTTTCCACAGATATTTCAATAATGTTATGGTAATCAGGAAAATCAAAAATTTCAATACAAAGTTTCTCAAAAGTTTACAACTGCCAGACTTTATTGAACTTTAATGAAGGAATGTTATTAAAGATAAATATGCAGTTATTAATATTCCTAATTGGCTAAATGTGAGAAAGCAGACATGTAGGTGAAACAAAAAAAACTTCAGTAAAGATAATACTAAAACTTATTTAAAATCACACTGAGCTTTGAACATTTGTTGAAACCTCTACGGTTACAGCTGGGTAACAAAAACTAATTGAGGAAGCATAAGCAGTTTTTATAGTAGATTCTATTCTCAGGTCTATAAGACAGCCTGTAAACACAAGTTTTATTACTGGCTGTACAATATACTCAGGTGGCAAAAGAAACTACACTTGTCACTTTAGTTCACCATACTTGAATTGCAATCATGAACTTGTGCACCTTTCAACCTGAAAAGTGAAATGGTCTGATGTTATGTTCCTTTATAATGGCGACTGTGCTTTTCAGAAATACTGGTCGAGTATATAGTTGGATTACAAGTGCAACAAATACGCAAGGTCACCTTTCCCAATAACATAAACACTCAAACACACAATAATAATGCAACACCAGCAAGAATCCATTTTGCAGTTCTCTCTTTTGTTTTCAAATTGAAAGTGCAAACATAGGTAGGTCCTCTAAGCTTAGTCTTATAGACAGGACATTCATAAATATTTCTCATTTCCTGTTTGTCATTGGGGATTGCTTTAACAACTATAACAGGCATCAGAGGTGTCAGTTCTTTCAACCAGGCTTCTGCTATATAGCCATTCTGAATGTCCCACCGTGCTCCTGTCACATAACAAGGAAGAGACAAAGTAGGTTATTTCACAGAATGCACTGCATTTGGGAAACTAAACAGACATTTAAAAATTACACAAATTAAGTGCATTATCCTCATGTTTACCTTCCATATAGAGTCCAGAAATGTATGCTCCTTCTCTAGCAGGTTGTGTAAAGTCTTCCTTCAGTTTCTTAGTGACATCTACTATCAGGTGCATCTTATCCAGTGGCCACTCATTTTTCCTTGCCAAACTTTGCATTACAGCTGAAATAAATTTTGAAAATTTATGTTCTTCCAAATATAACAAATGGAAGTCATGTATTGCCTTGGTACACAAATGCATCATAACTTTGCACAGAATCTTGCATGTATTAAATGTTTGTTTCGACTATGCTGGTAGGGAAAATTTTGAACATTAAATGTGAAATGTCTTGCATTCAAGTTGCTCTTCTTTCACCTAGAGATGTTAACAGTATTGTATCAAAATAAAGTATTAATGCTACAGGTTTAATGCATATGGACTAATCTTACAAATTGCTGAGTAAAATAGATTGAAAATGTATTTTGGTCACAAACATAACATTTTGTAGATATCCATAAAATACATTTAATGTTGAATAGGAAGACATTTTAGTTTCAATAAAAGGTTAGCTCCATACCACCAATTAAACCTCCTTATTGCCAAGGCTCAAAGAACACAAATTAAACTCAAATTGGTTTGTCCTAACTCAGTCTATCTCACTCACCTACTTAACAGTAAGCCAGAGAAGTGTGGGGAAAAATATATCATTAAAATAGTGTAATTGCTCAAAACCAATTCAAGCAGCAGACTTTGTATTTCAAAGAATTATAAAACTGCGATCATGTGTATAACAGCATAATATCCCACTGCAACTTGTTTCTATGATAATTTCAAAGCATTTCATATACACCACTTGATTCTTTCAGCAGAATTGTCACCAGCAAATATTAAGATTTAAAGTTAAACATAACATTTTAACCAATTATGATCTTTACCTCTTACCTGTAAGAAAGGATTGTGGGTTGAAAAAACCTGATATCCAGATAACACTAGGAAGGGTCAGATCCTGTGTCCAGGTGTCAAGTTCATGGCAACGAAGAAGAAGATCACTGTACCTTCAATAAAAGAGTTTTTATTAATATTCACATGCTTATAATGACGAAAAAAAAAACTTTTTCTAGTCTTTTGTCTGTTAGACCATACATAGCTCCTGTCATTTAAATCTTCTGGATTCATCATTTGTGCTTGAATACCTAGCATCTGCAACATTAGTACTTGAGGACAGGTTTATGCAGATCAAAAGAATAATGATTAACTGTGACATTTTTCAGCACAATTTCATCTGCCATTTTTTTCTAATTACATTTTATCCAAAATTTAATTTCAGAGCTTCTTCCCTTGATTCCACTGTTCCTCCTAATTTGTTTTAATTTGCAAACTGTTCACATTCATTGCTGTTGCGTTATGAAGTATGGGTGATGATGCAGCCAAAGATTAGGGAACTGTATTAGAAGAGGATGTCAGCCTATTGATAAATGTGCTATAATGTTGGTTATTTCACAAATAAAATATATATATAAATCCTGCCCTTGCCATTGACATCCACCTCCCACAAAGAAATTAAAGATAAATTGCATTCTTGAAATAACAGGAAAAAGTCTACATTTCATCTCGGCAGGTATTTACCCAGTTTCCTTTCAAACAAACAAATTGAAGAAACTATTTTAAACACATATCCACCTGCTATCAAGAGGGGATGATAGTGCTATGTTGCTGGATTACGTTATTAGGTAAGTCACCGGAACTGAGCTTTTGAAGAACTAAGATGCTCAGACATGTTTAAGAGAGAAATTGACACCACAAACACAGGGTCAAATTAGTGAAAGGACAATACAAAATCGAGATCAAGAATTCTTGTTATCGAACCGAAAGGATCTAAACTTGGATTGGACTTCCAGAAGATACTGACCCAGAATTACATAAGAAATAAGACTTGCAACACACATATATAGTGCTTTTTATGCTGAGCAGACATCTCAAAACACTACAGCTAATAATGTACTTTTGAAATATTGTACTTTAGGGCCAGTTAGTTTGGGTTGTGAGTGGACTCGGAAAAAAAATTACGATGGGCTGAATAACTATTTTAATCATTTATCTTCTGAAAAAGAGCAGAGAGTATTGTCTCTCACTCATCAACAGGCTTCAACCCACAACAATAGTTAGGTATTAGAGCTATCTTGCACTCTATGTAAAACCATACCCGTTCATTCCATGAGGATACAACATGATGTTTGTGCGAATGTGATAAGGTGACATATGAAAGGCTGCTGCACAAGAGCATGTGGTTTGGTGGTGGGATGTAACATTAGTAGGAATAAAGAATTGGTTAGTGAAAATGATGGATTTTTGGGAGGTATTGGTAAGCTGTAACTAGCGGAATGCCATAAAGATTAGTGTTGGGGCCTCAACTACTTAGAATCCATATAAATGAGATAGGGTAGCTAACTTTACAAATGACACTAAGATAGGTAAGAAAATAAGTTGTGAAGAGAAGGTAGACAGTCTGCAAAGGAATATAGGCAAACAAGTGCAAAGATTTGGCAGACTAAGTAAAATGGATCAATGTGTACATGTCCATTTTGGTAGAATGAATATATAAAACATCATACTATTTAGAGAAAGATTGCAAGACCAAATTGCACAGAGTGTCTAGTACATGAATTACATAAAGTCACTATGCTGGTATAGCAGTTAGGAAGGCAAATGGAATGCTGTCATCTATTGCTAGGGGTATGGTACATAAAAGCAGGGAAGTTCGACTGCAATTGTTCAGAGCATTGGTGAGACCACAACTGGAACACTATGTACAGTTTGGTCTCCTAATTTGTAATATACATATAAGTGCTTAAGAAGTTCAGAGACGTTTCACTTCAGTCATTCCTGAGATGATGGGTGTACTTTATGAACAGGTGAGGCTTGTATCCATTGGAGTTCAGTATCATGAAGGGTGATCTTTTGAAACATACAAGATCTTGAGGGCACTTGATAGGGTGGAATACCCCAAAGATTTGAGAAAGAAAATCTAGGGAAATGATTTAAGAATAAAAGCTGGCCTTTTTAAGTGAGAGATAAGGAGAAAACTTTTCTCTCAAAACACCCTTTGAGCATGGAATTTCTTCCCTATAAGGTACTGGAGATTGATTATGGAACAGGCTCAAAGGGCCAACTGGCCTACGTCTGCACCTATGTTCCTATGCACAATAACACAATTTAGTATCTTCTGGTAAGCAAGGCTTTAATAAACAGTTCTTAAATCTCTGAAAATGTAGTGTCACCATTTATAAAATTAGATCCACTCACACTATTGATGGAATCACTGTCAAAAATCACTCTTGCTCTGATAGATGGTGTATTATGTTTTGAATCCCTATGGATGAATCTGTTTATAAACCTAAACTTTGAACTACTTCTTTCTGGTTATCACTATGTGCATGCTGTAAACTGGTGAGGAATTGCTCTGTTTTCAATTTATAGCTTCAAAATAACTGAAGGAGGAAAGGATACTAAATAATTTAGGCACAACAATTTTATTCCTTGCAAAAGTCCCAACAAAATGTTACCTGTTTATTATAAACAGACCATTTTTCTAACTTCCTGTTTCAAGAAACAGTTTGAGTCACTTGTTGACTTATCTTGCAGTTATGTTACATGTTTGTCACATTATGGAATCCCACTTATAAGCACTTACACAAAAAACATGTGGGCTGTTCAATTATTTTTAAGCATCTAATGATTGACAGAGTTTGTTCCCATTTTATTGGAAATTTCATATGGACTCAGACTTTCATGAGTTGAAGTATGTATTCATGAGTTTTGCCTTTTCTATTCAATAATGATAATGTAGCAGAAGAGAAACTACTACTCATAGCTGCTGTCAAAGACACTCAATGTAGGTTAACCAGAGAATCAAACACAGCTAAGAAGGTGAGGTGGCTTATTCTGAACATTGAAAGGTGCAAAGCATAGACTTGTTCAGAGTAGAAATAAATAGGTCATTCTCCGTTGGAAGACTGTGACCGGTGGAATACTGCAAGGATTAGTGCTTGATCCACAGCAATTCAGAACCTGTATCAACCAGTTGGGTGTGGGGAAATTGCAATGTATTCAAGTTTGCAGATGATAGAAAACTTCGTAGAAATGAAAAACAAAGAACTGTAGATACTGAAAATCTGAGACAAAAACAGAAATTGTTGGCGAAACTCAGCAAGTCTGGCAGAGTGTGGAGAGAAAGCAGGGTCAACGTTCTGGGTCCAGTGACCCTTGAAGGAATGGAATATGATGCGGATAAGTGTGAAGTTATCCACTTTGGTAAGAATGTAGTGAGCGATTTTAAAATGTTGGTGTGAAAAGGGACTTAAGTGTCCTTGTTCATTTGTTACTGAAAGCTAGCATGGAGCTTCAGCAAACAATTCGGAAGGCAAACAGTATGTCAGCCTTTACTGCAAGAGGATTTGAATACAGAAACAAGTCATGCCTCAATTGTATAGAACACTGGTAAGATCATACCTAGAGTCGTGTTCAATTCTGGTTCCCTTGCCTGAGGAAGTGTGGATATACTTGCCAATAGAAGCCAAGAGATCAGAGTTCTAGTCCAATCTGCTCCAGAGATGTGTCATAACATATCTGAACAGGTTGATAAGAATATCTATACTTGCCAATGAGACAGTGCAGCAAAATTTCATCAAACTGATTCCTGGGATGGTGGGACTCTTCTGTAAGGACAGAATGAGGAGACTGGGCTGTATTGTCTTAAGTTTAGAAGAATGAGAGGTGATCTCATAGAAATACACAAAATTCTTAAAGAATAGAGTAGAGGCAGAAAGGATGTTTTCCGTGGCTTGGGGGTGGGATCTAGAACCAGCAGATGTAATGTCAGAATAAAAGGCAAGTTATTTAGGATCAACATGAGGATGAACATGTTTACTCAGAATGAAGAAATTTAAGAATTCTCTACTCCAGAGGGCTGTGGAAAATTAATCAGTAAATTAAACAGATTCATAGATTTCTAGTTAGAAATGATATCAAGGGATATGGAGATAGTGCTAGAATGTGACCCTGAGATAGATGATTAATCATGATCTATGATGGTGAAGCAGGTAAGATGTGAATGCAGAAATAGGCCATTCAGCCCATCTACTCTGCCATTCAAGATCATGGCTAACCTGATAATCCTCAACTCCACTTTGCAACTTTTGCCCCATAACTCTTGAGTAGACCCAAACTACTCAACCTCTGCACATAAGGCAGTCCCTCCAAAACCAGAATCAACCTAGTGAACTTCTCTGGACTGTCTCCAAAATCAGTATATTTGTCCTTAGACAAGGGGGCCAAAGTTGCTCACAGTAGTCCAGATGCATTCTAACTACTGCCTCGTATAGTTTCAATAGATAAAGCAAATTTTATACTCCACTGTCTTTAAAATGAAGACCAAAAATTCCTGTGCCTTTCCTGTTAACTGCTGAACTTAAATGCTAGCATTTTATGATTTATACAAGGGGCTAAATGGCCTACACTTGTTCTTATGACACTTGCTTTCATCTTCCCAGACCTTTGCCTGAGACTCAGCAAAGCTGACACTCAGATGTGTGTCACCTGAGCCCAAATGGGCTTCCAAGTACAAGTTATTAGCATTTGCCAATCTTTTCCCAGGCACACGTATATCCTTTGACAGGAGCTTGTCTCTGAACCTGGAAGAAAATCAGCATCTTTGCTGATCTGAGAGAATTGAATTTGGAACCATGACAGTCAACAATGCATTAACCTATTGTTCAAAGGTGGCAGCTACATAGAACATAGTACAATACAGAACAGGCCCTTTGGCCCACCATGTTTGTGCTGACCACAATGCCATTCTAAACTAATCCTATCTGCCTGCACATGGTCCGTACCCCTTTCTACTCTGCCTGTTCAGCTGTTTAGAGATGCCTATTAAACTTTGCTAATATATCTGCTTCTACCACCTAACCCGGTTGCGCGTCCTGAGGAACTACCACCCTCTTCATAAAAAAACTTCTTGCACATTTCTTTTAAATTTTCTCCAATTCATTTTAAA